TGTTCTCTGATGTTTCATGCTTTCACACTGTGAACTCCAGGAGGGCCAGCTCCTTGTATTTGTTATCTCTGTATCTTAGCACAGTGCCTAGCACACTGGGGCACTATCTCTGTTCATCTAACATACCCAGATCTGACCTCGCGTGTCCAGAAAGTAGTATGACAGATACCTTGAGTGAATAATAGCGAGAGAAGTGATTGAACAGGTAATTAGGACCATTAGGAGGGACCCATGATTGTGGTGAGTGGGATGTCATGAAGGGTAGGGAAGGTTGGTTTTTTATTCAGGAGCACCCTGAGAAAGAGGCTGGCATGGCCTCTGCTTCTTACCTCCCCTCCACAGAGACAAGCAACCCTGAGTGATGATCCAGCAGCTGCAAGTCTGAGGCTTCTCTCTTGCTTTTGTTGTATATTTTGCAAAAAAAGAGTGATGGGAGGGGTGAAGTTAATGCGTTGAGTATGAGTAATTAGTCGTTCAAACCATTGACATTTACAATGACAGGATTTGAGTGCCTATGTTATTGTGCACTGCTCTAATAGTTTATCCCTGAAATTTTCTGCCTGTATAATGTTTCTTAAAATATATCACGGGAACATAAAAGATTTAATGCAGCGCTTTGTACAACCATTAGAGTTTGAAGTCAACTGAACCTCCTCAGTGCTCTATCCTGGATACTGACTCTAATTCTCCTTCTTAATTGCCATTCAGAAGAGGGAAGAAGGAAGAGTCAGGAGTTTGGAATCTGGTCAGCTGCAAGGTTGGCTGTGAGACCCACACAGAATGTTTTATTAAAATACATTTGCACACTTGAATAACTGATATATTTATTGGCAATGAAACTGGTGCAGTTAGAATATCAAAGGCCATAGGCTGAGGAAGCAAGTGTTCTGATTTTGCAGAGCCAGCCTCTGTGCTGATTGGAGGATATGCTTCCCACTAACATATATATATATATATATATATATATATATATATATATATATATATATATATAATATATATATATATTATATATATATATAATCTCCCTGGTCTGTTTCCCAGGTAGAAATTACAGGTGTCCTCTCCCTAAAATCTATCATGTAAACTTAAAATGTTGTCATATCATATCGTTGGGTTTGTTATCTTTATATCTTAGGAACTTCTCTTATTTTCCAAGTTATGGTTTTAGATCATCTTGGTTGACTTATATGTCAGATTTGATTCAGACATTTTACATTTCTGATTCTTTTTGTAAGCCTGTTTTGCATCTTGGGATACATCATTAAGACCAGTGAAGGATCTTATGACGCGAGAGATCTTATAGCAATGCATTTGCAAATGTTTCTCAACTTTAGAACTGCACGTTTTTCTTGGGAAAAGTCTGTGTATGCGTGTGTGTATTCCCATCAGTTCTTTCCAAATATACAGAATGATAACTGCAGTGTGTGCATAGCAAAGCGAGCTCCATCTCCATCAGATGAGAATGACTTGGCTTACTGTCTAGTAGCTCAATGCAGAACATTGTGTCATGACTTTTTTGTAGTTCTGAGCCCAGTTAGGATTGTCTGATCTACAGATGGGGCTCAGCTCCATGAGTCAGCATACATTAGGAAATCCACATAGGATGTAAGCAGATCAGAAAGCTGATTGAGAAACTGAAATTACTTTGCTGCAGACTTGTCACTTCCCAGACCTGTGAGATGTTCACATGGGCAAATTGGCTTCCATCTACATGTGTCTGTGAGGTGAGCATCCAGTGAACAAAAGATGAACCCAGCTGTCAGGTGACCTTTAACAACCTGAGTCCCACAGAATCTCAGCATGCTTAGGTATGGCAGGCATTATTCTTCATATTCCGTTGTAACATCCCTCAAAAGATGCCACAAAAGCCTAGGCGATTGTGTAGGTATCTGGGAGAACTTTAAGAAGGGTGACCTGAGGAAGGTGGAGAGCAGAGAAGGTATTCTATAGATTATGGAATTGGCTTTTTTGCCATGAAATAAAAATTCCATAGTTGGGCAGCTCTGTGATTCTGCTAGCCAAGCCTTCTAAATTGGATAAACTCTGTTTTTCAAGTTCTTTATCGAGTTGGCAGCACTCCGTGTGTTTGTTGCCTGGACACCTGACTCACTGAAGCAGTGAGACTACACAGCAAATGGAGGCACTGCAGAGACCCAGGAGGCTGGACAGCATGGAGAGCAGACACCTGCCTCCCAGCAAGGAGCTGTGCTAATGCTCTGCAACATCATCTCCATTAGCATGGCCCCTCCCCTGGGCCCAGCTTCCTCATTTTTCCTGGACCCTTTCCTCAAGGGCAGAGCAGCTGAATAGGCTTTTGGGTGCAGTTTCTATCATTGCAGAGAAGTGCTTGACTTAAGATTCTTTTCAGGAACTCTTTGTTTTCCACTTAGTGAGACTTCCAGAATCTCATAGTTGACCTGAAGCCAAGAAGAAAATTCTTGTGATGTGATTCAAGCTACTTACATGGCCAGGTGATATGCCTCAATGGTTGAACATCAATCTATGACCCAGGAGATCAAGGTTCAATTCCCAGTTAGGGCACATGCTCAGGTTGTGGGCTCTATCCTCAGTGGGGGGTGTGCAGGAGGCAGCCAACCAATGATTCTTTCTCTCATAGTTGATGTTCCTCTCTCTCTCTCTCTCTCTCTCTCTCTCTCTCTCTCTCTCTCTCTCTCTCTCTCATCTCTATCTCTTTCTCTCCCTCCCTCTCTGAAATCAATAAAATTATATATTTTTAAAAGTTACTTACATAATGCTAAAGAATCTTAGAAGTTCCTCACCATCCTCAATCTGCCTACTTTCCCTGACTACTCCTCTTGTCTTATTTTTGTTGTTGTTGTTCTATTTTTCATTTGTGATAATTTGAAGAGGAAACAATTTCAATAACCCTCACCTACCTAGGGTATAATGTGGAATAATAGTTATAATGCCTCCAGGCAGTTTGTCTAGGCACTTAATAAACACATATGTGATCTGTCATCCTGAATATAGCCCTGCACAATAGGCTTTATTCCAATTTACAAAGAGGAAACAGAGGCTATGGGTATTGAGGCCTCCTGCCTTAGATGACACAGCTAATAAGTGATAGGACTAGAATTTAAGTCAGCTGTGCAATTAAAAACTCGCTTCTTTTTTACTCTACCACTGTGTTTCAGATGAGAAAATAAGTGGGGGGAAAAAACAAAAACAAAATGCAGTCTCTAAATCTAAGTCTCCTATGATGCAAGTTTTTTCCCCAAGATCACACAGCCAGTCAATGGCAGGCCATGATTCTATTTCCAAGGAGTTGATGATCAATTTCAGAGGAGATGGAAGCCCTATCATGAAGGATGAGTAAGAGATGGTAGTAGGACAGAATGGAAAAGTGGAACTGATGGGCTGCATTTGAGGCCAGGAAAATTGGGTGCAGGCCCAGACTCTGCCCCACTTTCTCATGATGACAAAGAAGTCACTGGAATCCATCTCAAACTTTAGTGTTCTGAACTAGATTTTATTCCATTCAGTGTCTTCCAGCTCTGAAATTTTGTGATTCTCCATGTTTATCATATGGTATGGGGCATCTTCATGACCTATTTCTATGAAATTAAACCTATTTTCCATAATAACTTCATCCTAGCATTATCTTCTCTTTTTTTGTATTTAATTAATTCATTCTTTATTATTTTAAAAAAATTTAGCATGAATTTGTTAGTATTTTTGAATCAACAGTAAATAATAAGGATGATAATGAGCATGCTTTTTGTATTAGTGATTTTGAGAAGAATCTTCCAAAATATATAATTTATATTATAAACTGATGAACCAAAAGATAGATATAGAGACAGTAAAGCAACAAGCAGACTGTCAATTTACAGTGGGGAGGGGAGGGAGATCTGGGGGAGATAATATAATAGATCAACCGAAGGACTTGTATACATGCATATAAGTACAACCAATGGACATAAAACTCTGGGGAGGGAGAGTATGTATGTGAGGGAGGGAGGGGGGCAAAAAAATCAATAAATTTTAAAAATTAAAAAATAAATAAAAGTAAAAATTTTAAAAAGAAAAGAAGGAAAAGAATATTACCTTAAAATAATAACTATGTAAATTATATATTTTGGAAGCATTATCTTCTTAATACTTTTCCCTGAACCCCACTATCCTGTTATCAGGGTTAATTACTCCTCCACTACAAGTCTATTGTCCTTCTGTAATCCGCTTGCCTGTCTGTGTCTTCTGTAGACAGTAAATTCCTTGAAGGTAGAGACATTTGTGGAAATCTTTAATTAACTATTTAAATGTAGAGAAAGTTCTTTTTGAGTAATGTGTGGAAGGACAACCTCTGGGTGGAAACCTAGAGTGAGCTTTTCCTTCCTAGTGTTTTATTTTAATAGAGGTCCAGGAGAAATAGTGACAGAGTGGCGAGGTTGAAATAGCAGTAGATAGACTTTGTAGTTCCCCAGTATGCACTCATTAAATCTGAAGTTTGATCAGTGATTAAGCATCATTGAAAATTTAAACCCTTTCTATATGAAACAGCTCTACTTAATTTGATGTCATTTCACATTAGGAGATAGTTAATAAACAGGTACTGTATTTGATCTTATGAGTGTAGCCCTCTATATTTAGCTTTTTCAGCTTTAATGGAACTATAATTTTAATCATGATTATTACTTTACATTTTAATTATAATTTGGTGTGGCTTAAGTATACATTTCTGAGAGTGATTGTGTAATGAAAACAGGAATTAGCTTTTCATTAACAAAATAATGGGAGAGTTCCCACTGCATGCTAGTCTGTGTTCAAAATCTATGGGCTGGCCTAAAAATAGCAAGGGGAGTTTAACATTTTTGGTTTAAAACATGCTTCTAAATTGGCTATGTTCACAACCCAGTCTCTTGTGCTCCATCTTGTTCTATCTTGCTCTCTTTTCTTTTCAAAAAATTAAATTAAGTCTTGAAAAATACTTTAGTTATTTCAGAAGGCTTATTTTTGTTATCTTTATTTTTGTTTAGATAATTAGCACCATGGAGCCTCAGGTGTCAAATGGCCCGACATCCAATACAAGCAATGGACCCTCCAGCAACAATAGAAACTGCCCTTCTCCCATGCAGACAGGGGCAGCCACCGATGACAGCAAAACCAACCTCATAGTCAACTATTTACCCCAGAATATGACCCAAGAGGAATTCAGGAGTCTCTTCGGAAGCATTGGTGAAATAGAATCCTGCAAACTCGTGAGAGACAAAATTACAGGTATGTTTTTCGTCAACATTCTAGGCTTGGAATCTGCTGCTGTGATGTTCCATTAGATGTTCAAACCTTAGTAGAAATGCATGGTGGTGTATCTGTCTACAGTGTGGATCCTGCATTCAAAGATAGCATGGGCACACAGTCATAAACTTATACATGCGTGCACTGTAGAAAACCACACTGAGAATTGGTAGGACTGAGAAGATGAAGAATTTGGAGCTTCTTCAACTTTCTGTGAAATAATACTTTGGTTTTATCCCCTTTTATTCTTAATCAACCACCCCTTCCCTTTGTTCTTTAATTCTCTGTTCTGCTCTCTGCCCTCCATATGCTCCATGTTAGTTTTTATCTACTTATCCCTTTCCTCTCAAACATTTGGTTTGTGTGTGTGTCGATATTCTTCTACGTGTGAGACAGTGTTAGGTGGATTTGTGGAAGGAGGTCACAACAGCCCATGTGCCTGGTGTGGGGAGAAATAAGCCCTGAGAATAGCAGATTACTTTGGAGTGAAACTACTCTGCAGTAGGAGGGAGATGCTCAATGAAGATCTGCATTTGAGGTATTTTATTTTATTTGTTTGTTTTGGAAATACTCTTTAAGAAGTCAGAGACTTTTTACTTGAAAGTGAAATAATACCTTATATAACTTCAGTACTTGAGGTTTTTTAGGTTCTGATTTTTTCCCACAGCATTCATTGAGGACCTAATGACACTAATTATTGGGGAATTTCCCTACAATCTTTCTGGAAGTGAAAAAAATTTTTTTAGAAAAACTTTGGGCTACATGACAGCAGTGAGATAGCTGTTCTTGGTACTCCACTCCTAAAATAATTCAAACACACCTGTAAGCATTTGTCTTTTTTTTCTTTTTCTTTTTTTGAGTGTTGACTTTTATTTCCTTTCTCTGAACAGTTTAATTGATGAGCAACTAGCCTATATAAGAAAAAGGAAACTCTCATTAAAATAGGAAGCTACATCATCTTGGTCTTAAATCAGAGAACTCAATGTATGTGTGTGTGTGCTTGTGAGTATATGTGTATTCTTTAATTTTCTAATTCCCATGTAAATCTGTCCCCCATTTAAATTAAGTACTTTTCAAAACAACAAAACTAAAATAGTTGTAAAAAAAAATATGTCATATAATCTTTCAAGCATAATTTTCTCATCTGTAAAATTGGAAAATAATAGTTGTCTCAACAGGTTTATTGTGAGGATTAAATGAGAGAATGGATGTATGCTACCCAGCACCATGCCTATTGCAGAGCAGTCACTCATTAAAGGGAGATGTTCTTATTATAGATACAGTTTGTATGTTTCAAGGGAGTGGCTAGAACAGAGAGATTTTTATCAAGGTCTCCAAATAGGACAAGGGCTTTTATGATCTTGCCCCAGAACATTGGATCATCCATTCTTAAACAGAATTGCAGGGAGAAACAAAGATGGTGGCATAGGTAAATACCTAAACTGCTGCCTCACACAGCAATTTCAAAACTACAACTAAAAGACAAAACAGATAACATCCAGAACCACAGGAAGGCTGGCTGATTGGAAATTCTACAACTAGAAGGAAAGAGAAAAGCACACTGAAACTCAGAGCAACTGCGGCAGGCAGAGGTATTGAGGCATGGGTGCGGAGAGGGCAGGCAACTGAGTGCATGGCTGGCTTTCTCAAATAAGAGGGAGAGAAAAGGTTCTGACTGCACTGAACTCCAGTTCTGGGTGAGACTCTGGAGACTCAGACTCATTCTAGAGAAACTGGACTGTCTGGCAGCAGGCAGAACTCAAGAGCAGCTTTCTCTCAGAGGTGCTTGCAGTGATTACCAAGGGACACTGAGACACAAGGGTCTATTAAGGCAGGGCTGACGGGAAACCAATGCTGTCTGCTCTGCCCTGAGACTCTGCCCCATCCAAGCTGAGCACAAGGCTTTTGCAGGTTTTGTTTCATAAGGGTGTCTCCAGCACAGAAGTTCTCCCAGCGTAGACACAGCTGATCCTCACAGCCAATTGGCCTGGAGGTCAATTTCTCCCAATGATACCTACAACAATCAAGGCTTAACTACAAGTCTGTGCACACAGCCCACAAAGGAGAGCAGCAAGAGTGTCCACCTCAGGTAACTGGGGAGGCTGAGCCACTGGGCCCTGTAAGACACCTACCACACAAAGCCACTCTATTAACACAGGGAAGCAGCCAAAATGCTGGGACAAAAAAAACAGGTCACAAATGAAAGAAATGGAGGAAAACAAACAATTGGATATAGGGTTTAAAACCACTGTTATAAGGTTTTTCAAGAATTTTCTAGAAAAGGCCAATAAATTTAGCGAAACCCTAGAGGACATGAAAAAGGATCAACTAGAAATTAAGCATACACGGACTGAAATAAAAAATATTATAGAGACATCTAACAGCACACTAGAAGATTGCAAGAATCAAGTCAAAGATTTGAAGTACAAAGAAGCAAAAAACACTCAACCAGAAAAGAATCCAAAAATATGAAGATAGTATAAGGAGCCTCTGGGACAACTTCAAGCATACCAACATCTAAATTATGGGGGTTCCAGAAGAGAGAGAGCAAGATACTGAAAACCTATTAGAAGAAATAATGACAGACAACTTTTCCCACCTGGTGAAAAAACATAGACTTACAAGTCCAGGAAGTGCACAGAACCCCAAACCAAAGGAACCCCACACTAAGACACATCATGATTAAAATGCCAAGAGCAAAAGACAAAGAGAGAATATTAAAAACAGCAAGAGAAAAACAGTTACCTACGACTGTCAGCTGGTTTCTCAACAAAAACTATACAGGCCAGACAGGAGTGGCAAGAAATATTCAAAGTGAATATTCAAGAAGCTATAACCAAGATTACTCTACCCAGCAAAGCTATCATTCAGAATTGATGGTCAGATAAAGAGCTTCACAGATAAGAAAAAGTTAAAGGGATTCATCACCACCAAACCAGTATTTTATGAAATGCTGAACGGTATTCATTAAGAAGACAAAGAAGAAGAAAAAGGTAAAGGTAAAAATTATGAACAATAAATATATATCCATCAATAAGTGAATCTAAAAATCAAGTGAATAAAAAAATCTGATGAACAGAATTAACTGGTGAATATAATAGAATCAGGGGCATATAAAGGGAATGGACTGACAATTCTCAGGGGAAAGGGACATTGGGGGTAAGGGAAGAGACTGGACAAAAATTATACACTTATGGATGAGGACAGTGGGAAGGGGGAGAAGAGCAGAGGGTGGGATGGGAACTGGGTGGAGGGGAGCTATGGGGGGAAAGAGGAACAATTGTAATGATCTGAACAATAAATATTTATTAAATAAATTTTTTTAAATAAATAGACAAAATTGCCTATGCTCTCTGAAAGCCAATGTTTAGATTCCAGAATAATTTTTATATAATAGGATGATAATTCAAACTAAATTCAAACCAGTTAACCATATGATTCTTCCTCCCACTCCTGTATAGAAAATGTGTTTTTGGTGTAGCTTTGCCTTCTAAATAGAGACTCTGCCAGCTATATTAGTGAATATTATTAATCACCTTTCAAAAGAGTTCCCTTAAAACGTAGTGAGGTTTTTGTGAAGTACTGATTCATGGTGTTTTTCCTTGTTTTCTAAAGACGCACATTTAAACAAGCAGATTCCTTTACTGAAAGAATGCTAATTTGGTAGTTCACCGAGTGCATTTGAATAAGAGTGACAGCTTCCAAGACAGCCTTTAATTTGGTATACAAAACCAAAATTGTCAACTTTGGTTTGTTTAGCACCCTCCCCAGCACAAGCAGAGACATACAATAGCATCTGAGCTTAAGGAAGAAGCTTATGGGTTGAAAGTATAAATACAATTCAGGCATGAATTTATCATTATGCAATTTTTAATGCAGGCCAGAAAAGAGAATTTTATTTGCAGAGAACTTATGGGAATGAGGCAAGGAAACGAAGAGAGACTGTAGATATTTGCCCTCATTTGGTAGCAGTGTTTAATAAAAGTAGAACTTGTGGTTGTAAAGAGTGCTTATTAAATTCTTCATTTACACTACCTAATTAATTCTAGCATTTTAAATTAACAGTGAAATTGGTCCCTGCTGTACCATTCCATAGATGCAGCATATTTCCTCCATCCACCCGTTGTTCAGGTTTAATTGGCTACGCTCAAAGTCAGAGGAGGAGGGAGAGATTGGGCTGTGGAGAGATGGAGAAGGAGTGGGAATCGCTCTAATCGAAGACCCTCTGAGCCTACAATTGGGGGTGAGTGACAACACAGGCTGGGAGAGGTGAGGGACCATAGCAGGCGAGTAAAAAGGCTGCTGCTTTGGTTCAGAAGTCAGGATAAATGACATCATAGGTATTTTTTGTTGCCCTGATTTTTAACATCCCAGTCCCCCCTTTTCCTTCAACACCTCCTACAGATCTCAATGCATCTCAATCCTGTGAAGTTTATAAGGAGTTCTAAATATCAGTGAGAGGAATGGGGGATGGGAGGTGACAAAGAGGTAAGAATTCAAATTAAGTATTTCAAGCCCAAACCACTCTCTAAGAGACTATAATAGATTCCTCCTTAGAAGGTTCTAAGATAGGTAGATGATGATGATGATGATGATGATGATGATGAAGAAGAAGAAGAAGAAGAAGAAGAAGAAGAAGAAGAAGAAGAAGAAGAAGATAGATAGATAGATAGATAGATAGATAGATAGATAGATAGATATAGAGATATAAGTAGAATAGTTATTGGAAGAGGAGAGAGAGACACACACACAGAGACAGGGACACAGAGAGAGAGAGAGAGAGAGAGAGAGAGCCTTTGTTGATGGTATTGCCAGCAGGCTGGATTCACTCCTTGCTGTGGTTGTCAATGTATTTTCCATCTGAGAACACAGAAGGGAAGTCCGGGCATGTACTTAAGTGTTGTGATACTGAGGACATAATTGCTTTCATTCATCAGGTACTTACTCTAGTCTAGATACTTACTAAGGGCTGGACAGACCTT